TTTCTAAACGTAGCATCCCCTTTTAAGCTGTGGCCATTATCAGAATTATTAGAAATTCGAAAAGTTTCCAGTTGCCATAAATTTCTTATTAGTTATGTCGAATCAGCTTCTAATTTATTATTAACTATTAACTCTTATCAAATTCTGAATGATATAAATGTTTTTGAGGCATTACATGCGTTTTTTGTTCTTCGCACAGATTACCCAAATTTAGTTTCTATCGCTATTAATGATTCAGGAATTTGCCAGATCCTTTATATAAAGCATCTACATGCATCCATTCATCCATTTATAAAACATCCACAAGAAAATTTAAATTTTGAAGATCTCCTTTATAAAATTTTTTTATAGAAGCAGTAAAACATTTTTTTAACGTTTTTGATTAATATTATTAAGTTAACTTGAATAAGCGAAGCATCCGAAATCTGAGATCCAACCATTGCCATCCCTGGTATATATATATATATATATGGGAAACCTACCTAAAATGCACACTTTTCATAACTACATTAAATTTCAAAATCAATTTTTTAAACAAGTCAGAGGTCTTCCAATGGTCTCCCATTCCAGTACCTCAATCTGTAATCTCTTTTTATTTATCAAAGAATTTAACTTCCAAAAAAATTTACAACAGCAAGAATTAAATTATTACAAGCACACTTATAGATATATAGATGATCTTATTACATTTAATAATTTTAATAAGATTGAATACTCCGAGATTTATTCAAAATGCCTTACACTTAATAAAACTAATAATTCGCAAAATAGCATTGACTATCTCGATCTTCAAACCATTAACTACAAAAAAATTTTACTGTTTGACAAAACAAGAAACTTCAGTTTCAGTACGAACAAATTAATAAATTGGTATTCCAACATCTCCAAAAAAGTAATTAGCAATACAATAATAAATCAAATACAACGCATTAGCAATACAATAATAAATCAAATACAACGCATTAAAAATATTTGCACATATATTTTTAATGCGATAGATCTACAACTCGAAATTTTGCTCCTTATTAAAATTCTCAAAAATAATCTAATACCTAAACAATTTATTAACTATTGCCTTAAAAGAGCAGGCGTTAAATACTCACTCTAAATCATTTAACTGGTAGGGATATGATAATTTGTTCCTAAACCTGAGAAGGCGGTATAAGTTGGATGACTATCAGTTGGAGGATTTGTACATAGTGTAATTACAAAGTTGTATATAATGTAAAAAGCTAATTGTTTTCAGTCTTTTCTTATGCTGTTACTAAAAAAATGAGCCTATTTCATAATCTTTAGTCTGTCAATAGCTCATCTTGACAGTGAAAATTACTTTTTTTCCTTTCTTAATTTCTTCCTCGTTCCGACACACAATTAGCCAGAAATAATTTAATTTCCATTCACTAGTTAATATAAGCAAAATTTTAACAGACGTTTTCACTCGCACAAGAACTCCGCAACAAACGTCCCTGAAGCATTCCTAGTCTCCCCACCATGTCCCATAAATTACTTCTCACAAGTTTCGCCGCTTGAAATAATTCAAAGCCCACTGAAGATAGCGGGAATTTCGGACACATCTCCCTTCTGAGTAAGACACCGAAGAAAGCACTTTGCCCACATCCCACTATAATGTAAGAAAGATATAGAAAGAACGTAAGTTAATTAATGCTTTTTCTGGCCTTTTATATCTTCATGTACATTCCCTTTTTTTCTTATTATATATATATATATTATTTCAATTTTTATTATTTGATTTGTTTTTGGAAAGATGGCATTATATTTCTTAATTTTCTACTGTTTATTTCAATTACTTTGAGTTCTATTTCATAATTCAGATTACCAAAGTTAAATTTTTATACAATAGTTTTGAATTAACATGCATAAAAGCGAGGGTGTCGGGGGACAATTACTCAAGTATTTTATCAATTTTACTACATAAATTGCTTTTCACTCAAAATTTGTATTAAAAAAACGCTTAATTCAAAATGAGTTCTTTGGTACTCTACTTTGGTTCTAAATACCTTCACTTCACGGAACTATTTGGTCTAACTTAATTTGCCAGTTTGGCATCACCATTATTGAGTAAAAGACGAAACACCTTCGTATTTATTAATTATTGTTCATTGAACGGGATTTGGTTTGTTCCCCTTGAAAAGTCAACTAATTTCCGATCAATATCAATAATTACTTGCTTTTAATTTAATTTCTTTTTCAAAGTTTGAAATTTTATTATTCATGATTTAATTCAAGTCCCCGTAAAACATTTTTAACAATTCACATTCAAGTTACTTTAAAACAATTTTCGGCATTAAACTTCCTACCTATGGGCTCACTCTTTTTAGATACTTCTACTAAAATTAATATTAGGAGATAATATAATCAATATTTCTTTAGTAAATAAATTATTATTATCTTACTTTGCAGCTATTGCGCAAGTATTAGAATAACTTGTTTTCGAACTAAGTGAATTTAAGATCATACAACATTATATATATATATATATATATATAACTAGCTAAATTAGGTAATTTTTCTTCTTAAAAAGCCTAATACTTGCGCTGAAACTGCTAAGAAAATAAGAATTGATTTATTACAACAATTTTTGGAGTATCTCCAAGGAAAAGAAAGGAAATGAGGATATTTAATAAAATGTAAACTTTAATGCTGGTGTAGTAAAATAGGAGGGGGTAAGTATTTTCTCTCTCTTTCCAGCATGTCTTCATGGTGTAACACTTAGCACATTCGGCGCGTATTAGTGAGGTCCAGGTTCGAGTCCTGGCGAGGGCAAGGCTCATTTTTCACATCTCTTGTATCAAAAATACCTAATAGCTCTACAAATATATTACGAGAAGAAATGCTATTGGCAATAAATCTCATCACAGATACAAAAGGATTATCTATTTTTAGTACTATGAGAACATACTTTACAAACAATAATATTCTTTTGAATAATATTGTTGCATGCGCTACTGATGAAGCACCATCAATGGTACGAGTAGGTCGCTATCGTAGATTTGTTGCTCATTTGAAGCAGGAAGGGCCAAATGTTTTATATATTCATTGCGTGGAGCACAGATAACCTCTTGTAGGTAAACATAAAAGTCTCCATTAATCATTAACTATAATAATTCGAGCCGCAAACAAGATCAAGTCCAATGCAAAGAATCATAAAATGTTTCGGAAACTTTCCCAGGACCAATAATGACGATTTTATTTTACTTTTGCATATTTCTGATATTTTACTTTTGCACACAGAAGCTCGGTGGCTGTCAAAGGGTACTATTTGGCTAGATTTGTAGCACTACATGATAATGTCATACAAAGTTTTGAAATAATGAGAGCAATTTGCATCCACAGTTAAAAACAGTAAAGTATGATGTATTTTTCTTGGCATCTATTTTCAAAAAATTTAACGATGTCAGTTTGCATCTTTAAGGAGTTAATAACATTTTTATGGGTTGCCGAAGTATTGTGCTGTTACTTCTTGACAAACTTGAACTACTTCGTCATAATCTATCGAAGAGAGAATTCCCATTAGTTTCTTCAATTATCATTTATGAAAAGATGATGTAACTCTATAACGACAGATTCAGTAACCACTTCAACAAACTCGAACTGGGCATGGAAAACTGATTTGAAGATAGTTTGATATTTCATATAGTTATATGACTGGATGAAAAATCTTTTTACTGCAGATATTGAAGAGACTGATACAACATGCCAAGAAGAATTGTTAGAAATTAGATATGATGAAGAAAGTACACATAAATTCGACAGTGGTGGGTATGGAAACTTATGTCAAAACAAAAGATTGCTGGTATTATATCGAACTATGTGGAAAATGGTATTCAGTTTTCTGAAACCTTTCCCTACCTCGAATCTTGTGGAATCAGGATTTAGTACTGTTAATCATGTTATGACCGAAGACAGAAACCACTTGAATATTTCCGAAAGGGAAGTTCCTCCCAAAAATTGAATCGGATATTCAATATTTAGTTTCCCAGCATCAGCCTTCAGGGATCCGATGAATAATTCAATTAACTAATGTTATTTCTGTGTATGCAAAGTATAAATAAAAGGATAGATTTAACTATAGTAAGTTGTTTTATAAAAATTTGCTCTGTAAGACTCAGCGAAAATCCGACATAAAATACTTTGTAAGTAATTAGTATTACATATTTTAGCTTGCTGTAACTGCTTTATAACTTTTTAAAATTAAAGTTACTTTTATACCTTGTAAATCAACTTTACTATTGAGTCGATGGGCGGTTAGAAAATTTTACTGCTAACAGAGATACAAAAATGGGAGGTTGGCATAAGAAGGTTGACTACCCATGTTCTATACAATGCCTAGGCATTATATTGGTGTCTAGGGCAGAATATATAACATTAAAATACTTCTGGTGTTTCATGCTTTGCCCCAAAAGGCCTAGACATTCCGAATATTGCCTAGAAAATCTACAGAATGCTCGGATTTCACACATTGCCGATAACATGTATAAACTACAGCTAATTATTTTATACTGTGTAACAGATATATGTAAGTTTGTTATTATAGAGCAGCATTTTTATTTTTTCTTGCATGACTTCTCGTTAACTCCCATATTCCAAATTTGAGGCATGTGTATGACTGTGATTGCGATTAATGTCTGACTGCAACCGTACCTAAAAAAAGTTTTATTAGGCCTGAGTATAATATTTGTTGCTCGCTGAGATATGAAGAGTTTATTGTCAGTGCAGTAGACTCTTCCTTCTTAAACATATGATTATAGATGTAGCAAATGTATTAAAAATGCCAGTAACATTACATTCAGACGGTGTTTCTTATTGTCATTTCATGGTTTTATTTTTGATACCAGATTTATACACATGTATGTGTTTTAATCTTTGACACTGTATGTTAGCATGAATACGTATGTGCAAGTTGTGGTCGAAATTATTCACTACACAAAAAACAAGTTTCATATATTCAAACGAAATTCCGAAAAAAAAAATAATAAAACTTTTGTACAGAACGTGTTTATTCATATTTTACATATAATTATATTAAAAACAACAGAGATCACTTTTTATATATGTCAACTCAGCTACTGGGATGAATAAAACTTAATGATAGTTAATTAAAACTAACACTTCCATTTCAATCTGTCTAAGTTCTCAATCACACGAATATTAGCTTTTATTTATTTTGAGTTCTAAGCTGAAATATTCGTATAATAATGATTTCTCTTTTTCTAATTCCGCTTGACACGTCATCAAACATTTCCAGAAATGGAGGGTGTTTTTCCGCATAAATAGCTCTTGCTGAGTTTATAACACACTTCACAACGTTCACGTTGAAACTTCGGTAAACATCACTTCAAATATTAAAAATAAAAAAGGAAGGAAACTTCATTCGATTGTGCCGTAATGCCTGAAAGAGATGAAAAAAACATTTTCTTCAGAAGACGCGTTATAGTTTTATCAATTTCCAACAGATGGCAGCACTACATTAAAATGGCCAACAGGATGAGGAAGCGGTTCAGTAGATGGATGAGGAAGCGGTTCAGTAGCGGTTCAGATCACAGGAATATTTAAAACCTTACGGGGAGATGATAGTGAGTAAACACTGCATTTCTTTCCCCCCTCCATCAAATGATGCACTGCATGGCACTTTTATCACCAAACGGAGCATTTCTTTACGGGATTCATGGGGGAGCCCAGTGGACAACCAAATTCTTTGGCGAACTCCGGAGTATTTGCCAGCGGACCAATTACCCTGGAAGGAACAAGAATAAAAACATAAGGAAATTCAAATATTTTCCGCAATAATATCTGCAATTATATAAATTTTTAATTCTACTGTAGATATACATACATGTAATGATTGCAATTGTTGAAAAGGATAGATATTATGAATCGTTTTGGAGGATTTTACAATACGATAAATAATCGATTGAGGCAGCTGTTAATATTCAATACAGTAGCGTCATAACGATTAATATTATCAATCGGATATTATTTTCGAATTGCCGAAGTCCCGCCCATTTGTATATCAAAATATGGAAAATATATCGCTTATTTTAATCAACAATTTGGTTAATATGATCAAAATATTACAGAATAAATATTTTAAACTGTAGTAAAGTCTAAAAATAAGCTCAAAACTTATTATAAAAATTACCAAATGACAAGGAAATGTAACCGAGTAAGGGATTAATTCTCCACATGGCTTAATTTCAATTTTAGTCAACCATTTAAAATTAGGCAAAGAATTGTAAAGTACTTTGACTTATATTTTCAATAAGTCTATCGGTTTTAGGGCAGATCAGATCAATATCTAAGCAAAGAAAAACAAATTGTAGAATTTTTCCGCAGAAAATTGTTTTTGAAAGAATATACAATAAACTAAAAGCTGCTTTTTTTGCCTAATTTAAATTTTCATTGACCAGTTCTGTTCCTATGGGTGCAATGACTTCCAGAAACGTTATGAACAGTTCATAAACGAACTTTTGCATTAAAAAACACTTTGAACAGTTCATAAACAAACTTTTCCTGAATAAAATGTTGTTAAAATATCTATTTATACATTTTTAATTATATTTGTATTTAGTTAAATTCCATTGCTGTTTTGAAGGATACGTTTTCTCATCTTTAATGCCATCATTAGGTTAATGGTATCAAAATAGTGGTGGACATATGTGATCATATTAAACGGCGCATATTGTAATAGCGTTATAGGTCACTGAGAGAATCGATGCACCGTACCGGGCGGTAAATGTTTAGCAGAGAGAGAGAGATTACACTGGGCTACGAAAGGTTTAACGCCAGCGCTGGCAGGCATTTCTGATCAAAAGAAATATGGTATAATCGTTTTATGAGGAAAGAGCAAAACTGTGTTGAGTATATTTCACAAGTATTACTATTGATGCATTTCAACGTAATAACTTCAGACACTGAGACGCAATATTGTCCTTTTTTATTTTTTTCCTTTTTCTAGGATATAAATGGACATACAAATTAATAAATATAATATTGTGAGTATTTTAGGTGGCTATAAAAGCAAAAGTAATGTAAATAGTAAAGTAAGTAAAGTAATGTAAATAGTAAAGTAAGTAAAGTAATGTAAATAGTAAATAGTAAAGTAAGTAAAGTAAAGTAAAAGTAAATATGAATTCCGAAAGAAAACAGGAAAGAAATATTTGTCTGATTTCTGGAATGGATTAAAAATACGTTGTTCTAAGCGGAAAAATCATGCAAATACTGAAGAAAATTTGCTATCTTTTGTTTTAAAATTTGCTACATGGAAATAGTATTATATAAATAAAGTAATAAATATACGGATGCACTATAATAAATATTTCACACTAATGAATTTCGTTATTTTCATACATGAATATTATATAATTTAGCATTGGGAATTTACTATAATTTATTGATTTAATTTAATCAAAAAATCCAATTTCTCTTCAAAAATCAGATGTTGAAAGGACACACACATACACCTTTGAGCCATCCATAAATAATTAGTGAAGGTGAATGTGCAGCTGACTCAGATTGTAAACTGAATGCCAGTTCGTGTTTGTTTCGCTGTGAAATAGTTTGTTCTGGTATCAGACTGGGATAAAGTTCAACCATTAGAAGAGACAGGTTCGGCGTAACCTGTGCAATGAGTTTGCGAGGGCTTTTATTTTGTTAGTGAGATGAAAAAAAATCACCGCGTGAACGAATTTGATTTAAAAGTTAGAAGAACGCGTTATCTAAACGCGTTGAGGAAATGGAAAATTACATAAGTTAATTTTAAAATTATCTGGTGCTAAAAAGCTAGGGGTAAAATACACGAGGAAGTATGGTAAATATTCTTGTACATCCAGGTTCCTATTAATCAGCTAGCTGATTTATAACAATGACATACACAATAATGAGCGAGAATCTAAGGAAAATAAGACAATAAAGATTTTAGAGTCTAATTTGATATTTGTTTTGTAAATAACTGAAATACTCTTACAGTATCAGCCAGCAAGAGCAGGTTCTAAGTTTCTGTTAAACATTTTATTTCTAACTTCAAACCGAAATAAAAATAGTTTGTTGTCTTTATTCTTCTTTTAATAACTTCATGTTATTTGATTCTAAATTAAAGAAAAGTAATTAAGGTGTAACCTTATACAGACCCAAACAGAGAACCAGTATAAGAGAAAACTTTTCCATGAAACGAGTTTATCGCATTACTAGTTAAAAGCGTTTCTATCCTAAATAAGGTCTCGCTGTGTGAAAGATATTACGCTGTGTCCGAGGGTACGTATGCGGACTGGCGAAAATGTTTCGCCGCTCTCAGCTCTGCCTAAGTAAGTTTCCGCGTACGTTAACCGATCAGATAACCTGAAAACGATGATTCGCGGAAATATGTCTTTGAACTTGCAGTCACAAATAGCTAGAAGCTCTAATCGCGGTTTTATAGCCCAAAATTAAGAACGTAAATTGAATACATTTATATATTCTAATAATTTCGAGAAATACATAATTAAATTAGCAGATGGAAAACTATCTTGGCGATCTTCTTACATATAATATCAATTATAATTGGAGTGGATTATAGTGGATATAATTTTATATCCACTCTTTCCTCCAAAGGAGGTTTAAAAATCGTTACGAATTAATCTGAAACATTTTGAAAGCACATTTAAAATATAATAACAGGAATAAAGGCAAGTTTTTACCTGTAGGGAGCTGGACTATGGGAGCCAGTCATAATTCGAAGTTTCAATACTTCAGGTCTATATTTTCCACACCACACCTAAAGTATTTTGATATATAGCATTAGTTGTTTACAATTTAATATGAATCATAAAAACTCTCTGCCAAACGAAAATACAAGTAATTTTTACACAACTTTAAGCTTTTGCTGTGTTAACTTTACAGGTAAAATGGTACATCGCTTGAAGAAAGTAATCTGTTTCCTCATTGGCGCTTAAAAACGAAACCTTCATTATGTGGGAAACTAGCCCTTCTACATTATCATGAGAATCGACATTAATTACACGAGAATTAAAAACACGATCAGGATTTTGATTTTAGAGTTAAATTTATTTTCAAAAGATGGTTTAAAATTTATGAAAGCTTCTTTA